TTCAGCCCAAGAAGTAAGTGGCTAATAATTTATTCTCATTATTCATCGGTGATCGCACGCGCAATTAAACAAGGAGGTTAAGAGAAGCGTGAGAAGGGACAAACGGGCGTGGATCAACGACCTGGCGGCCCTAGCGCAACAAGCAGCTGAGAGCAACAACACAAAGTTACTTTATTACATAACTAAAAAGCTGTCTGGAAGGAGATTTGCAAACTCTCCTCCTCTAAAAGCGAAAGATGGAACTCTCCTAACATCTAAGGACGACCAGCTGGAACGCTGGACAGAATATTTTACAGAAGTTCTTGTCCAAGCTGCGGTCCCCGCAGCAGAGCAAACAGAAAAGCAGATGGATAATGATGCAAGAGCACCTGAAGGTGGCGAATTAAAGATAAAAATTGATCCTCCTTCATATGCGGAGATCAGGACTGCCATCCAAAGTCTCAAAGGTGGTAAAGCTCCAGGAATAGATGGGGTTCCACCCGAGTTCCTCTCTGCGGACAGCTCAACCACTGCGAAGCTTCTGCAACCCATTGTAGCAATGGCATGGAATCAAGAAGAGTTGCCCTCGGACTGGAAGAAGGGTATAATTATAAAACTCCCAAAGAAGGGCAACCTTAGTCTCTGTGATAACTGGAGAGGAATAACATTGCTTACGTCGATAAATAAGCTTACGTTCATTATCTTTAAAAGAGTATCTACAGCTCTAGAGCCGCATCTGCGTGGGGAGCAAGCGGGCTTCCGACCACATAGGTCATGCATAGACCAAATCAACACCTTGCGCATACTGATTGAGCAGTCGCAGGAGTGGAACTCGCCACTATACCTGGTGTTTGTCGATTTCACAAGAGCATTCGACAGCTTAAATCACGCATTCCTGTGGAAAGTACTAATGGATTACGGGGTACCCGACAAAATAGTAAGAGTTATCAAGGCACTTTACAGGGATGCTTCATCCTGCGTGGCTCATGGTGGGGTGCTCGGAGAGAGCATCGCGATAAATGCGGGTGTAAAGCAGGGATGTGTACTATCGCCCTTCTTGTTCATTCTCGTTGTAGATCACATCCTGAAGAGTTTAGAGAGGGCACCCAGAGGGGTACTCTGGAGTTTTCAGAAACGTTTGGAAGATTTAGACTACGCAGATGACATCTGCCTTCTGGCTCATACGTTTCGGGACATGCAGGAAAAGCTGAGTGAGCTTGCTGACCTGGCGCTGGAGGCAGGACTGCGTATTAATATTCGTAAAACCAAGAGTATGCGTCTGGGCACTAAGGTTCGAACGAGCTTTGTGCTCGGGAGAGAGACGATTGAAGAGGTTGACGAATTCTGCTATCTTGGCAGTGTGGTGACGTGCACGGGCGGAGCCGAGTCTAATGTAGCCAGCAGAATCAAAAAGGCTCGTCAAGCGTACTTGGTTCTCGGAAATATATGGGCCTCCTCCGTGTACTCGATTGGCACAAAGCTTCGCATATTCAACTCAAATGTGAAGTCGGTGTTGCTTTACGGATGCGAAACATGGAAGATTACTGCCAGCATAACGAGATCCCTGCAAACGTTTGTGAACAGATGCCTGCGACGTATTTTGCGCATATTTTGGCCGCAAACAATATCAAATAGAGAGCTATACATCCGCGCAAATCAGCTTGAACTGGAACGGGAAATTAGGAAAAGGAAGTGGAAATGGATTGGCCACACGCTACGTAAGCCTGTTAGCGATATAAATAGGCACTCCCTGGAATGGAATCCTCAGGGGACAAGGAGCCGTGGACGACCCAAGCAATCTTGGAGAAGGACTGTGCTGAGTGAAGCCGAAGGACAAAATTATTCCTGGAACCAAGTAAAACACTTGGCTTCCAACAGGACACGGTGGCGCAGCTTCGTGGAGGCCCTATGCTCCTAATGGAGTTTACGGATTTATATATATATATATTCATCGGTGATCTGGTCACAATATGATACTGTGGCGGTTTTCCGACCGCACAATCGACACGGTACGCGCGCCGCGCGCGCGCCAACCAATCACGCGCCGAGCGCGTGGGCCAGACTACGGCCCGCGAAACTAGACGAGAGTGCCGCCAACAGGTGGCAGACTTTCTCGCGTTTCATTTCCCGTCAGGGAAGAATATAAGGCCACACGGCGACGGCCTAGGCAGCTTTCGACTGCTCTCAGGCTCATAGCCAAGACCAGGAGAAGTACTTTTGGTAACCGATCTCGCCGTCACCTTGCCGCCGCCGAAGCTACGGCCACCACCGAGACGAGCTGCGCCACTTCGCCTGCCGCTACCGCCACAACCTCAGCGGCCCCTGGACTACCGTCCAGGCCAACCGTGGAAGCTCGTCCCGCTCCAGCTCTCGCCGGTGCGACTGACTTGTCCTCCACGCTCGCTCATCTCAACGTGGGACGTACGAGTTCGGCGCTACACGTCTCCTTGACTATCGTGGACGGTGCCTCCGCTCCTGTCGCCTCTGCCACCGTCTCCGGCCGAGCAGGTACACCAGGGAACGCAGACATCCCTCCGGCGCGTGTACACCGAGGCGTGCAACACCAGCCTCCACGCGACGCTCAGGAGATACAGACCGACCCGGAGTGGGAGGTCACATCCTCGCAAGGGACGCAGACAGACGAGCCGCCGGCACTGTCATCCGAGTCTACCCAGACCGAGGAACCGGAGCCGTCCCTCACTCCACCGGGGACACCGTCGGCTTGGCGGAGATACAGCTCGTTCCGGAGGACCAAGACGCAGCCGAGCATCATCTGGCGTGAGCGACTTCGGGACTAGGAGAGCAAGAAACCAACCGGCCTTTTTCAGGGCCACACCACAAGAAGAACCCAAACGGCCCTTTTCAGGGCCGCCTCAACGGCCCTTCTCAGGGCCTTCTTCAACACACTGACGCACCAACATCTGTATTATAGGACTATTGAATAAACGACCTATTTATTACATATATCTGTCTCTCAGCTCACTCGTCGATCCTTCTCACGCTGCGGCATCTCCTCTGCGAAGGGCACGCGACGCCCCAGCGAAAGTGGCAAGCGGCCACAGATACTAATATGTATTTTACTTATGTATTTTACAGGTCAAGAAATGAATGCCAATGAAAAATTGGCCCAATTGTTGCAGATGCATGAGCAACAGCAAATGCAACTGCAACAGCTGGCCCAGCAATTGCAAACACTGGCAGCAAACCAGGGCTAGCAGGGCCAGCAGGACCAGCAGGACCAGCCGCAGCAAAGCCAGCAGGCAAGAGAGGAACAACACCTTTCGCAACAGCAGCAAACAGCAGCAAGGTATATTATATATACATAGGTACATACATACATACATACATACATACGTGCAATGTAATATTACATAGCAATATTACATATATATGTATACATAAAGAAATATACATGTGTGTGCATGTGTGTGTGTGTGTGTGTGTGTGTGTGTGTGTGTGTGTGTGTGTGTGTGTGTGTTGCTTTTCCGCCATTTGTCATTTATTTGTACATTTTAATTTCAGATCTTTTCCGAAGACGAGGCCGTGGCATTGGAGGTGGGCGGTCGCGTGCCCGCTGGTACAGGCAGCAGGGGGGCCTCACAAAGTTCCCCTGGAAAGGCCCAAGAAATGGTGAAAGAGGTGGGCGTGGAAGAGGTGAAAGTAGAGGAAGGGGGGAAACAATAATTAAAAAATATTTTTTTTAATTAAAATGTAATAATAATAATAATAATAATATATTTAGTTCGGCCATTCAGCCTAAAACCGGGACTTGGTTTTCAATTACTTCTTATCATTTACTCCTTCATTTATTCTTTTTTCCTTTTTCACATTCTCTCTCATTTTTCCTATTTCTTTCATTCATACAAAAAATCTGCCAAAGAAATAATGCTAAGAATTTATGTGCAATAAAACACACACATGCACAAGGAAATGTAAAAAATTGATTTCTTGTTATTACAATGATTTCAATATTGAAATTATTTTGTACTATTTGCTACGTAATGGTTGTATATAATTACTAACAAAATATTAATAACAAATAATAAATTAACAATTCCTTACATTTCCTTCCTGACGGAAAAGACCACCACTTTCTCGCGGTTTCCGTTGAGCAACAGTATTATATGCACGTTGTATATAAATACAAAATAAATTAAATAAATAAAAATACTACAAGCTATAATTTTTTATCCAGAATTAATATTTAATTTTCTTATTTACATTTAGATAATATTATCATGTTAAAGTTAATGTTAATTTGTTATGTAAGAAATTAAAAAAAAAAAAACAGCGTGCATATTGGCCAAGAGTGGATTTTTATACATTGTTACATTTACAAAGTTCAACTTTAATCAAAACAAATATTTAAAGGTCTGCAAATTAAAAAAAAACGGAGAATTCTTTTAACTTTTTATGTTTATAAAGATTTACGTCATTGCATTTGGTAATTTTTATACTTTTAGACATTTTATTTACATATTATTCACAATTAAAATTGATTATACATATATCAGTGAATAACGACAGAATGATTGACATATATCTCGATATTTTATAAGAAAAGATTAAGTTTACAATAAATAACGTCGATTTGCCAACTCGAGATTTGGAGAGTCGCGAGATCTGAAATATGTGCCGGCATAGCCGGCACTGGCATAGCGACGTCATAGCACAAGAGAGAAGGAGACAACGATCGTGTTCTGTCCTTTGCGCCGAGCGTACACGGACAGAGGAGCTTGCATTGTGCGTGGCTATGCCCTTGCGCAGCCTTGCCGGCGCATCCCCTCCACACGCTGTAGCATGCTGGTCGGTCTGCACAGCGGCATCACTGCCGCGTATTCTGCGTTCCACGAACAGCACCATGTCGATGTCGGTGAGCAGCTCGAAACGCACTCCGGTGTACCTCAGCATGGCGTCCCACGTGTACCCCGGCAATGGCCTAGTTTACACCGATCTCTTGATACGCGTATCAAATAGTATATTTGAACTGATCAGCCAATAATTAGCCTTATTTACTAGTTATTTACTATTTAATACGCGTATCAAGTGATCGGTGTAAACTAGGCCAATGTAAAATAATGCGCGGGATCAAGCCCATAACTCGCTAAACACGCGCCCCGAAAATTTTCAAATATATCTGCCAGAAGAAGCACGTCAGTTTTGAGATACAGATCGCTGTACTCGCCGAGATCTCGCACGCGAAAACGTCGCTAGACCCTCGTCGCGAGCTCGTAGTCGCTCTCGCTCACGGCCTTGTCCGTCAGGAAGCTGTAAAAGACCTCGCGCGGCGGAAGCTCGGTCTCCCGCAGTTTGTCCATGCTGTCGACGTACTCGTACGGAAATACTTCCTTGCAAATGAGCAGATCGAGATCCTCCGTGCTCAAATCCGCGTACTCCGAACGCGTTAGGGTCGATTCAGACACAGCCGTGCCGTATCCGTACCGTGCACGAAACAGAAACATCAGACAAGGATACCTATTGTCTCCATCCTTGTCTAATGTTGTCTCCATCCTTGTCTAATGTTATCGATACGGATACGGTACGGGTACGGAACGGCTGTGTCTAAATCAACCCTTATTCTTAGCTTGTCTTTGTTCAGATAGGACGCCAGGCGCCAGGGTTTCGATACTCGCCGCTAAAAATTTATACGAGTCCACGAATCGAAGTTTCACGTACCGATCCCATCCCCCGTCTGTCTGCGTCTCCTTAACGGTCTTCGAGAAAGATATGTAACTTTCCTTCGTAAGCGGCAGCAGATCGACCCCGCCCTCGAAATTGTTCGCGATTTTCTCGACGATGAAGTGCTCGTCGTAACCCGACAGATAGTGAAAGAACACGGGAATCACGTAAACGTTTCTGTAATTCAGATTGCAACAAGAATGCGCCGGACCTCTGTAGCGTCCGGTTAGGTGACAGTGATCTCTCACGCGCTTGTCCTTAAGTTGGAACGCTTTCCCACACACGTGACAATGAGTCGCGAGCCGAAATTCGCGCTTCCCGTCCTCCGTAAGTTCTATCATCGCTATATTGGTGGAAAATTTATTCTTAACGCGATGCGCGAGAACGCGAAGCTTATTCACGAACCACGAAACGCAATCCTTGCCGCGACGATATCTGTACGTGGACGCGGTATCGTCGTAGGTGCAGCACAGATAGTAGCCCAGGCTGAACAGTACGTGACGCTGATAGCGTATCTTTCCGTTCTCGCGCCCCCTTCGACGTTTTCCCTCTCCCGTTGTTCGAGAAGACATTCCAGATCCGCGTACACCATGAAGGGAAGTTGCTCCTTTCTGTCGTGATTGTCGAACGACAGCCACTTGTCGTCCTCTTTCGGAAAAACGATGGCGCAGTCGTTCAATCGGCCGCAGTCGACGCTGTGGGCGGCCAACTTATCGCGCGTATAGAAATAGTGTAGACATCTGCGAAATAACGTGCGTGCGATTACTATGCGTATATAAAATAACACTTCGTCGTTTCCTTGTTCCTCATGTTTTTATTTCATTTCTTTTACCTACCGATCGCAAACGTGCTTCGCGCACCGTTTCGCGGTCAATTGCGAATTCACCAATCGCGACAGATTATTTATCCAGGCGAAATGGCCCCGGTTGACGCCGCGTAGCGTATCGCGCAGATACAGGAGATTTACGTGCCTGTCCCTCTTATCGTCGGTTAACCGCAGAGGCACGATCGCGTTGTCGTCGGCGCCCCGCCCGAACTTAGCTTTCTTTTCAATTCCTATCCGAGTTGTAAATACGTTGATCGATACGTCGTTCTGACTTTCGAATTTTCCGATCTTTTTTAGATCTATGGGAAAATCGATTCCGTCGAGATTCAGCACCGTCGCGTAATCGGGATACGAGCCGCATCGTTCCGCGCTTCGCTTGACGGGATACAGAGCAACAACCACCGCACGCGCGAAATACGTGTCGATCTCCGATCGCACGTTGACCACCGCCTTTTTATGTCTTATACCTCGCGCTATCTTCATCCAACATTCCACGCGCATGGGATTACACTTGTTCACGTTCACCATTAGGTTCAGTATTCGCGACAACGCCCATCCGCTGTCGCGTTCCTGAAATTCGTCCAACCGCGTTAAAATCACGTCGCGCACGTGCCTATCGTAGCACTCGCCCAGATCGGACCCCGGGAGGAGCTGTTCGTTCCGCGTAGCGATACTTTTCACATCGGTCTTAACGTCCGCTACGAATTCCCCATTAAATATGACATTGATCTTCAGACACACGTGTCTGGTCATATTATCTCGCACTTTTTCAAGCACGGTGCCTTTCGCATCGTCGAGAAATCGCGCGGGCTCGATGTACGTTGAGTTTGTCACAGCGCCGGTCAGTACGCGACGTTGGAACGCCGTATCGATCTTGATCCACAAAAATCCTCTGCCGCTGCTGCTACCGCCGCCCCCACTGTCCAAGCCGGCACCTACGGCGCGTTCGAATCGTCGACGCAGATCCTCCCTCGAACTTTTCAATCGCGCTATTAGAGCAACCGCTCTGGTAACGGCTCCCGTGTTTCCTCGCTTCGCAGAGCGTTTGACTCGACACTTCTCCCGCAAGAGCCGGAGACACTCGTCGCATCGTCGTCTCCACGCGCGGTACCCGTCCGCGTCGCGGACGTCCGCGGCGAGCAACTCGTCGCACTTTTTCCACATCGCATCCAGAAGGGTCCTCCACCGTCGGAAACGTTGAATTTCATTCGATCGAAAAAACGACGAGACCTGGTGGTTTGAATCCGACGTATCCTCTCTCCTCCGTACACCGTCTCATAATAAAGATAATATTCGAGCGTATAATCGTTTGCCCTAACGGAGTTTGCCACCGTCGTCTCTATCCACGCTCGCTCGCGAGTAGTTCGCACTCCGATTTCCCTTCGCCGATGATAGGTAGCCAGATTCCATAGCTCGTCGGCTTTCTCCACCGACGCGGGCAGGATTGGCAGGAATACCGACAACGGTATTTCAACTCTCGCCGATTCGTCGTCTGAATCGGACAAAATCTTGGGCATGTGCTCGCGACAGCGCAGTTCGTCGTCCAATTTCGCGGACGAGTAATAACGACGATCGTTTATTCGCGAGTACGCATCGCTACTGTTCCAATGACGGTCGTGGTTCCAATACTCCTCACCTCGCCCATCCAAAGCGTCCCATAACGCCTTATACGTCAAAATCATTATACATGTAATTACTAACGCGTCTCGC